AAGACGATGTGGAGATTGTTGAATATAATTGAAATCATGAACTAATCAATGTTAGACCGTCATTGAAAACCTGGAAGCATTAGTATGGGACGCCTCAATAGTGCGGATCTACGAACCCATGATCTATCAGTTGCTTAACCTCTAGACCACTGTGCCGGAATCTAGCTGTGTTAATGTCTAACTTCAACCACTCCACGAATTGAAATACATTTCGAACAATTCGGGCACACATATACTTATCAAAGCATTTTAAATGAAAATTAAATGAAGGTTCAAGTGAACAAAGCAATAAAAGAGAGAAAATTGCCATCGTATACAAAAAATAGAGAGTTTTCTCATTACCCCAGGCCATGAAATGACTTACGGAGAAGCCATGACCACTAATGTTCAACCGTGTCTGTTTTAAGACAGTAACTCACCGAAGATAGTCGCACAATATCGTGGACTGGATAACGTTAGACATCAACATTGTAGTATGCCGGCTCAGTAGTCTACAGGCTAAGCATCTGCTCACGAGATCGAATGTTCTGGGTCCCAATGCCACCGCTGAGGAGTCCTATTCTAGGACGGAATGGCCGTTCAATACTTCAAGGTTTTCATTTGTAGGCTAACATTCATCCACTCATCATATCAATCTAAATTCAACAGTCTCCACAACACTATACTGATAATTATTTGCAATGAATGAAATTGAAGTCGATCGGTTACACTATCATGAAAAGATTAATGTCATGATTTACATAAACAAATCTCCAAAAGTATTTTATTGAACTTTCAAATGTATTTTTCGATCATCTACTGTTGTTTCATTACTGTGTCAATAATTTGTTAATCGATGTAATGCAATCTGTATTATTTAAAGAAGATTATCACATTAATTCATTCATGCGTAATGGTTTTTACGTCATATTTACCTTTTGAGGGAGAATAAATGTCACTACATGCCTAGTTAAATCTGGAAATTTGAACGTCTTACCCACTCGGTGAAAATGTACGTAATAACTTGATAATTTGATGCTAGATATTTGTATAACAAAACATTTCGTCATTTCTGTGAATACACATTAGTATCTATTTGTCAAGTCATTTACTTCAAAATCCTACTTTGTTTGGCAAGTGTATAATAAACAACATAGCATATATTAAGCTGTTTAAAGTTAGACACTAATAATTTTGGGTGCTAGCTCAGTGATCTAGATGCTAAGTGTTCGCGCGCGAGACCGCAGGTCTTGGATTCGATTATCACATGAGGGATCATGTGTGTGACCTGTTGAGTAGTCTTACACTAGGCCGGAACGGCTGTCCAATGCTTCCAGATCCTTGATGGTAGTCTAACATTGATCGGTGCATGATGTCTATCCAGACTTACAGATTATAGAGGAGGATTCAAGATTACGACAAACTGTATTTTTATGTATAATGAAGTGTTCAAATTTATGAATAGTCAAGGCTTCAATAAACCTGAGAATTCATCGTGGACAATTTCTACACAACATTATAAAAGCTGTATTGTTTTCGATTCTGTGCCGCGTCCCAAGCATTTTTTGATGTAGATGTACATTGTTTTTTACTTTTCACGTTTATTGGATCATTTTGAATTAATTGGTTATGAAGTTGTAGTATCAGTTTATATGTTAAGCCCATATACTTCATTCTAGTTACTGGCCAAGCCAATTCACACATCTATTATGAGTCATATTTTGATCTTGTTAATTATTCGCTTATTAACCTTGACTATATTTTTATATGAGCGTATATGTGTACCCTTCGTATCCTATTCATCATATGTCTGTCATTCATTTTGGTCTGATTATAAATATTGAGTAATACTTTCTCTTAGCGAGTTGGCTTCCCAGCCATCTCCACAATGCATCATCTTTGATTCGCTCGCTTACACTTGCTCATGTGCCCACAGCTTTCTGGTCTGCATCATTTATCAATATAAATGTAGTTGCCGCTTCCTTTTGCCTTCTGATTTTATACACCGTTAAGATTGGTATAATAACGGTTATCAAAATGAACTATTATCGAAGCACGGCACAACAAAGTCATCTAAGCACATTTTCCATAACCCTTGGCTGCATTTTTCAATTACGTCTCCTTATGCATGTGTGTCCAAATGTATATTGGTAAATGCGATGGAATGTGAAGTAACCATTCACCTATTGGAAGTCAGGGGCTTATGTTTATCAATCACAACCGGTTTAGCAGCATCACAGATTTTGATGGTGTTTTTTTTCTCAAAGCTGAATGGTTCTTGTTACGTCTGGCCGATTGTGAACGCTATATTCGCTTCCCCAAGTTAGTTCCGTACCCCCGAGCTAGAACTATACCGCGACTTGAAGACCAGAGAAAAGGCACAAAGTGTGTGGGAAGCACTTTACTACAGGGTTCAGAAAATACAAGGATCTTATAGTAAATTAAGAGACCTTGAGTTTTACCGAAATTTCTAGAATACTGCTAAACATAGTTCAGTGTGTTAATCAGCCAATCAGGATCTCGTTATTTTAGTAACATAACTCCACACAACTTCTAATTAATCGCTGATTGGTTGGGGCTCTTTATGAGCCTCTGGAGGCTCTGTTAGAGTTCTCCGGAAGCCGACTCAACAGTTTTCTCGATGAATGCTTTCAATATCCGTCTTAAAATCATACTATTATATCCACAGTTACATGGTAGATAGATATAAACAGTTTTCTTAGGATGAGAATAAACGAGAAGTTTTAGTGTTGACTGACCTTTTATATTTAATTATAAAGTTTAATTTTTCGTCTTTTTAACCGTATCTGTACTGTATATTCTTTGAATCCCATATAAGAGGCACTTAACCGAGCCTCGCTTGTATTGCAATGAACAGAAACTGTGGAAATTTAAATAACGGCCAGTTCAAGTTTTCATCCTATAAACTGAACGTCTTATAGTCTCATCCTCCCTTCGACTCAAAGGATGTCTTGAAAAGGAAATTATTTATTACCTTCCGCTTCATAGTTCATCACGATATCGCTCTGTACGACACTGAGTTTATCTGATAACTGGGAAGCCTCAAAATCTTTATCACTTGTAACTAATATATCATTCATGTATTTCTTATACAAAGTTACTTCGCTAATGAGCTCACTCGTCATATTTTCAATATTTGACATAAAAACATCAGCTAAGAAAGTCCTTAAAGGACTACCTATAGTAATACCATCAACTTGTCAAAAATATTCATCTTCAAACGTGGACTGAACATTTTGCAGTTCATAACAAAAGTAATTCGTTCAACTAGGTTAACCGAATAGAAAAAAAAGAGCTTACTAGATATAAAGTCACAAAGAAAGACAACAGTATTGGTTAAAAGCACATTCGTAAAAAGAGAGTTTACATAGAAACAATGTAAAGTCTTGATTTTTTGACAGATCAATTAAAATAACCTCGGACTGTTTGAATACGTTTTTAAAGCTCTGGTAGAAACAAAGTATTGATAATTTATGGTAAGTAGCTTCGCTGAATGAGTTAGTAACATGGTTTAAAAAATGTCGGAATACTTTTAAGTTTGACAGCTGCTCTTGTATTTTTGGCTAATAATACTGCAATGCTTGTAGAAAGTTTATGTATTAAATATAGTGGCATATGATTTTGCAAAAGAACTCCACTGAGGTGGCATAAACTTGGACGGGTATTCCAACTCACTGAACACTGGTTCTTTAAAAATTATTTTCAAAGAATAACTTAACTGTATAAACAAAGATGGATAATGGATAGCAGTGGAATCCACGATGCACGTTTCGTCCCATTTGCGACTCATTAGCTGGATGAACCTGAATCTCAGGGTTGATACTCATTCTGGCACTCGAACCCAGTACTTTTCGCTTCAAACTCAATCGCGTTATCCCCTCAGCTACCGATTCCTGATAGCCACTTGCTTGTGGAATGGGGTGAAGTTTAAATTCACTTAGTATTGTTTGTTTGTATCTTTCCAGAATGAACATCAACTCTGAGATGCAGGTATATCCAGCTGACCAGTCCTAAGTAGTACGAAAAGTGCGTCCTGCATTCCACTGATAGTCAACATCCATCTCTTATCATAATGCTTGTGAATAAGACTATATAGCTGTAATACACATAGTGTGCACATATGGCCAATAAGGGACTGACCAGATGCAGTCCTAAATATTAATGTTGATATAAAAACAAAGAATACTAAGTGAATTTATTCGTATAAAGAATATATAAATCGCCAATCATATGTTGGTTGGTGATGAAGCACTAATAAGTCATCTTCTTTGCCTTTTTATCTGTTATCAATTATAGGAATTTGATCCTTCATGCATTAAGTTCTTGCATCTTTTGCTACATTATAAATGTCTGAAGGTTAATTGACCGATTAGACTCAATGATCGGTTAACTATAGTTCTACTGTTTGTTATAAATGCGATAGCATTTTAATGAAGGTTTCCAAATCATGTTAAGAATATTATGGTTTTAAAAAATATAGTCCAATTCCTGTTAGATATGTAACCCTTTTGAGATTTATATAAGTTGTGGTTTACTATTTTAATTGATGAAACATCAGTAAAACACAACTGTTTTACTTATACAAAAATACAACTTTCTAAATATGACCATATCCTTCTGAACGTTAGTTTGATCTTTGAGAAATAGTTTACTGAATATGTCAACATGGAAATATGCCTTTTAAATCTAAAAAACTTTAAGATTTCATTACGTCACACACCTAATAATTGTAGGAGAGCATAGTTACATTGAATAGTAAAGATGAATTATTTAATTATCGGATAATATCTAGTAACAAGTGCTTTATATCAGACATTCATATACAGATTCCTTAGGAAATCTACTTCATAAATTAACCAATCAAATGTCTACAAAATTATTTAACTTTTAACTTAACCAATCATAAATAAGATTGTAACTGATTAACGTTCCAAAAAAAATTAACCAATCACAATAATTCATGATTATTTTAAATAATAACTGTTGATGACCATATGAATGAAATATAAGTATTATGACCGAAATTATCCACTTTTTGGCATATAAATGATTACATAACTGATGGAACAAATCATCATTCAACATATAAGACTCATTCAATATTTCCCCTATTACATAATACTTCAATTAAATCAATCGATTATGTAATCAATATGGAATTATGGAGGCAAAATGCCAAAATCTATATTTTCTATTTTCTATTCATTATTAATTCTATACTTATATATCAAGTATTTGGATCATGTTTTCAATCATCTGGATCTATATCAATTACATATGATATTATTGAAGAATCTAATATACCATTAATTATTGGTAATTTAAAAAAAGATTTATGTATAGATCAATATTCTAATGAAGATTTTATTTCATTTAATAAACCTAATATTAATCAACATGAATTTATTATATTTCCAACATCACAACCATATTATAAATATTTTATTTTAAAAACTGAAACCATAGCAACAACCAATTTAAATGAACAATATTTAATATTAAATCAATCGATTGATCGTGAATTATTATGTAATAAAACAAATGATGTGACTAATAGTCATTCTAATAGTAATGAAAATTTCTATTCTAATACATATATACAACAATACTATAATGAAAATAATAATATATTATGTAATTGTTATGATTTATTAGGTTGGTGTAATATATATCTACATTTAGCTTTGATCCCATTACATAATAATAACAGAACATACTCATCCAATATGTCATTGTTCAGTAATATACAACAATCTACACTACTAACAAAATCTACTACTGATTACTGGTTAAATTCTATAAGTAGTATGAAATTTTTTATTATAGAATTAAAAATTATTGATATTAATGATAATATACCTATATTTAATCCATCTAATTATAAAATTATTATAAGTGAATCAGATAAACCAGGTATTAATTATCGTTTACCAATAGCATATGATCAAGATTTAGGTATTAATTCATTAATTCATTATAATATCACTTTAATACATGCAATAAATAATCAAGATCATACTATTGAATTATTTTCGATCAATAATACTAATAATAATAATAATAATAATAATCAATTTATTCTTATACAAGATCATCATCAGAATAATCATCCTGACAAACAATCAATAAATCAATACAATAAAAATCAATTATATATTCAATTAATTGATTCATTAGATAGAGAATTATATCATCAATATTATATACAAATTATAGCAATGGATCAATCAATCAATCATCAAAAAACTGGTACATTAACATTATACATTAAAATAGCTGATATTAATGATCAATTACCAATATTTGAATATAATCAATATTTATTTCATCTAATAGAAAATTCACCTAAAGGTACTCTCATTGGTCAAGTTAAAGCAAATGATATAGATGATGGTATTAATTCAATGATCAAGTATAATATAAAAGAAATTAAACCAATAATCAATAATAATAATAATTATAATTATGATTATTATTATAATGATAATAATAATAATAATAATAATCAATTAATCAATATTGATCCAATTACTGGTGAAATTAAATTAATCAATATAATTGATCGTGAAAAATTATTAAAATTATTTTTAATTATTGAAGCTAAAGATAATGGTCAACCATCAAAATCAACTATAACTAATGTTATTATTGAAATAGATGATATAAATGATAATAATCCAATTATTGATATATGGGGTTATAAAGAAGTATTAAATTCAACTGGATTAATAATGACAACTCCTACTAGTACTACTAATATACAACATAGTAGTTTAATACCATTTTATTTAATTTCATCAGAAAATTCATTTATACCTATACATATATGGGTTAGTGAATTATTAAATATTAGATCTATATTATCTATTGTAAAAGTAAATGATCTAGATCAAGGAATTAATGGTACAGTTCAATGTAGTTTAAATGATTCTTATTTCATCTTACAACCTGAAATGGTCAATAATAATAATAATAATAATAATCAAATGAAAAGTTATTACATCATCTTATCTAAATCATTAGATTATGAATTACAAATTATACATCATTTACCAATTCTATGTTATGATTTAGGTATACCAATAGCTAGAACATCAACAGTTTTATTAAATATTCATATTAAAGATGAAAATGATAATGAACCAAAATTTTTGATTCCAGAAATTTTTATACCAGCACAATGGATCAATAAAGCACAATTTATCAATCATTATCAAGATAATAATGATAATAATAATAATAATATGAATTCGATCTTTGATTTTCATCAAAACTTATTAAATCTTATGTTAACACCATTAGAAATTTTAATCCCTGAAACATGTCCAATTAATACTGTTATATTAAAATTTCCTGTTCTTGATATAGATAGTGGAATCAATAGCATGTTAAACTATGAATTGAGATCAATAAATCAATATCTTTTAAATAGTTTAAACTTAAATGAATCAATGGAAATCAATAATATAATTGATTTTATACGTATTAATTATACAACAGGTGAAATTATCATTTATCAATCATTAAAATTAATTCCAGAATATTATAAATATATTTATGAAGTAATTGTTAAAGATCAAGGAATTCCTAGTAAAGTATCACGACTTCAATTTTCATTACAAATATTAATAGTGAATTCTTTTCCACCGGAAGTGAAACTACTAAAACCGAATCATTTAAATAGAACAATAATAGAATTACATAAAAGTAAATCTAATAAAAAATATGAAATTGAAATGTATGAAAATGAACCAGCAGGTACACATATCGCTAGAATAATAGGATATGATCCAGATCGTGGTGAAGCTGGTCGTATCACATTTATATTAATACAAAATCTTATAAAAACATGTATAGGATCATATAAGAAAATTGATGATGCTATATCGATCGATTCGAATAATGGTTTAATCACTACATTAAGACCATTAGATCGTGAATTAGATGGTAATTTATTATTATTAACATTACATATACAAGATCATGGTATACCTATTTATACAACTACTATACATATTCATATTAAAATATTAGATATTAATGATAACCCACCAATATTTCTATTACCATTATATTCATGTCATTCATCGAATCGATTACGTAATTCAGATCATCAGAAACATGACAGATCATCATGTCATTCATTAAACATCTACCCAACTCCTAATATTACGAATCAATTATATAATATGACAATAGTATTACCTAAACAATCCAATCATGATCTATTACATTCATTTATACAATTTCAAACAATTGATTATGATCTAGGTATAAATTCTATGATCACATATCATTTAGATCATAATTGTTCACAATTGAATGTATTCAATGATCATTCATTGAATTATTTATTTATTATTGATCAATTAAGTGGTTGTTTAAGTATTATTAGTAAATTTTTTTATGAAAAATTATATACTACTTATAAATTATGTATTATTGCAAAAGATCATGGTCAATTCATTCAACATTATAGTATTCTTAAATTATTGATTAAAATTCAATTACATAATCATAATCATAATCAATCAATAATTTTTATTAATTATTCCATTCAATCGATTAATTATTTAATGAAAAATCAATTAATCAATAATTTATCAATAATCAATAATATTCAAATCAATAAATCAATATTACAATTAAATTATATGGATCAACAACAACATAATAATAATAATAATAATAATAATAAAATGACAATTATTATAAGAATATTATTATGTATTACAACAATAATAAGTGGATTAATGATTATAATGATAAGTATTATAAGTATTAAAAAACAACCAAATTGGTTATTATGTAATATTCTATGTAAAAAAAATACAAAAGAAACAGCTAAAATTGAATTATTAAGATTTCATGAAGGTAAGTATGATATATTGTATTGTATATTTGATTGAGTTCAATAATTGATGAATAGGGTAAAGAAGATTGTTTTATTACTTTATTGTTTACATAGTAGAAAGCGTCAGTCAATTGAAGCTAGATCACCAAGGAGACCTAGAAGCACTGTACAGCCGTTTCGTTTTATTGTAGGACTCCTCAGCAGTATGTATCCATGACCTCACCTCGCGAGATTCGAACCCAGGGGCACTTAAAACGATAAACCAATTAGCCGGCATCGGATGTTGTTAATGTGTAACTCCAACTAATCCACGAAGATGAGTAACCGTTCACCAGTTGTCTTCAGTGAGTTACGATCTTATAACGGAAGTTGTTTGAGCTCCACTGGTCACTGCTTCTCACTAGAACTCCTGGATTTATCTCTCGAAGTCAGTCACTAGCGAGCATATGATTATAATCAGAAGGGTTTTTGTGGAGATTTAGTATTTTCATAGTTGAAAGCGTAAGTCAATTGAAGCTAGACCACCAAGGAAAACCTGGAAACATTGGACGGCCGTTTCGTTCTATTGTGGAATTCCTTAGCAGTGCGCTTTCAACTATGAAACTACTAAATCTCTACAAAACCCCTTCTGATTATAACTGACTTTAGTTAGAAAAAAATTGAAAATCATGAAACATTGGACAATTATGTTGTCCTAACATGATGCCCCCTTATTATTGAATACCCATTAATACAACGGTAATCGTAATCTTCAGTTTTCAGTGATGACTTTTAAAATTTATAATACTGAGCTAGTTTCCAATGGTTTGTATCGGCAACTGTTATAACTGTAGCTGAGTGAGTGCCTTGTGAACGTATGACATGATCAAAATCGCCAATCAGAGAGCAGCAAATTATCGATTGGAACATCGACACACGAAAGCCACATAAGCAGTCTAGAGTAGGTATCGGACCCGCTTTCCACCTATCCCAGCCTGTTAAGTCCAGAACAGCCTCTGTGGTATGAATCATCGTATTTCAAACATACTGAGTTTATATACCAAACAGACTGACCACATCAAATCATAATATAGAACATAACATTTGTATTAGACTTAGCCAAATGTGTCTGTGAATGTGGGAGGCAGCAATTAATAGACTAGGGAGAACTCATGAATGGTAAATCATATAACAATAGTTTATAGTTCAAGATAAAGTTTATAAGAAGAGAAACACAAATACTTATAGTTTAGTGATTTAGCGATTATACGGTGAAAAATATATGCACATTTCATAAATAGATCCCTAAGTTACCATTCATTATCTCTATCCGGGCATAACATTAACTTTGGTTGTACGAAATTGTGCTTTAATGTGAAGTATTAAGTCTAGATAATATTTAAATAACATAGTTGGAGTTTTCATGGTATTTTCAAAATCTCAGGTAACGATATCAAATAATGTAGATTGTATTGCTGGTGACCATACCACGTTGAAAGCACCAGTTTTCGTTCGTATTTGAATAGACAAGTTAAAATGAAGATTATGACTTTTCAGTAACTGCCGACTAAACATTTTTTCGTCTGATATTCAGTAAAGTATAATAGACTGATTTCTTACTAGCACAATCAGTAATTAAGAATCGTAGATTTCAGAATGAATTCGACTCATTATCTTCAAGGTAAAAGCTTAATCATCAAAACCCTACTCCTTCAGTGAAATCCTGTCGTCACTAAATACATTGAAATGAAAGTTTCAGTATTCATAATTAAAATATTCTCACTGCTATTCTATTTCTGGTCTCTAAGAATGCACATTTAATAACTTACGAGTAGATGGATGTTGAAGCACCTAAAATTAAGTAGATTTTGGCGATCTCTATAAAACCGTTTTAAACAGAAAATATGTCATCTCTTTTTTTTTAAATAGTTATATAGGAATATGTCTGTAAATATTAGTCACTATGATCCAATCTATATAGAGTAGTTTAAGAAAGCATTAAAGACTGATACTTTGATCACTTTTTCATAAGTTCACATTAGGAACTTTCTATTATTTTTAACACTTTTGATCGTTTCTTTAATCTTTATGATTACTTATGAAGTACTAGTATACTGATCCTGAAACTTTAAGTACGATATATTCGGTCAAATGAAATATTATGTTTCGAAAAATGTGAACTCGCTATATGAAAATATGGACAGTGGTTAGCAGTGGAATCCAGGACTTCAGTCACGTCCCATATAAGACTCGCCAGCTAGAGGTACTAAATAAGACGAAACGCATATTCTAGAATTCAATTGCTAGCCACTATCCATCTTTGTATATAATCCTTGTGACATAAGGCAATTTTGAGGCAATCCTCACAAGATGCATATATACCAATAAGAGACTGATCAATTGCAGTCCTAAACAATAATGGAAATATTCAAACAAACAATATTAAATTAACGTGAAATTACTCATTTTAATGAGTTTACAGCTGACATAATTTATCAATAGGAGTTTCTATTATTCTTTATTACTTACTGACCTACTTACGCTTGTAACCCCTCGTGAAGGAACATAGGCCGCCCACCAGCATTCTCCATCCAATTTTGTCATGGGCAATCCTTTCCAGTTCCGTCCAGTTAAAATTCATCCTTTCCATATCTGCTCCTATTTCCCGACGTAATGTGTTCTTTGGTATTCCTCTTTTTCACTTCCCTTCTGAATTCAAAGTTAGGAATTACCTCGTGATGCAGTTTGGTGGTTTCCGTAATGTATGTTGTATCCATTTCCGTGTTTTCCTAATTTCCTCTTCAGCTAGAAGCTGGTTTGATTATTCTTTATTATCATGAAATAATTCTTTATTAATTATCTTATATTACATTATGAATAGTTTTCATTCAATATAACATTATTTATTTATTTATTTGAACACATAAATAATGGTACAAAGGAGCACCAAATACATATACGCCGCACAAATCTCATTTGATTTGTGTGAGGTCCGTGATCCAGGTCCAGGTGCCCAAACTGAAGCAGGTGGTTTTCTTAGAGAGCCATACTCGGAGCCTTTGACCTAAATGTCTGATCCACAAGGGAGTTGAGGAACTTTAAGAGATGCATTCCCATGGTAGTCTATGACCAACAATTGATTCATGCGCCGTTTGTTCGCATGTGCACATTCGGTTTTGAATCAGGGTTTTCCAACTTCCCTAGGTGAACTTTCCGTGTCCGCCAACCTGGTTAAAGCACCGGACATTCGCTTTTCATCACCCAGCCACAAGAAGGCAATGTGTAGGACCTCCCTGCCAGAGGCTATATACGCGTGGCCATAAGAGAGCATTTCGATAGTGAGAGCGGAATCTCCCCAATCTCGGCCGTACCAAGGCATTAGGGTTGAAGTCTATTATCGGGAGTGGGATTACAACCCACGCCCACAAAGTGGACTGCGTAAATAATTTATCATTCATCTAGTTTAATAAAGATAGTAATGCATTTTTTATAAAACTAGGTATTGATTCTCTCTATGAAACATAATAGATAACCTTCCTTTTTAATGAAAATAATACTACTAACTATTATAGTAGTAATTATAAAGAATATTAATTAATTAATTAATGAATAAGTTCATTGGGTTTGTCATCAATCTACGTAACCATAACAGTTATAAATTGAAATAAATAAGAAACTAGAATATTGTCTATCTTCATCCTATTATCTTTTCAATGAGTAACCACATTAAATACTGCATACACTCATCAAACCATAGTTTACTACTTATAAGTAATATATATCACCATATATATATTCTTCATATTGATAATAGTCTATCAAAAATAGTTTAAATGATAATAGTTAACTTATTAACTTTTATAATGCCAAACAATTTTTTAAAAATTTTTTTTCTATGTTTTATGAGCCACCAAAACTTTTGTTTCCATTTCTTTACTTTTCTTTTTTTTTTGAAAAATGAAAAATAAAATTCATGGTGGGGAGGGGATAAATAAAATTTTTCATTGTTTTAAAAGAAAAGTTTTTTTAAAAAAAAATAAAATAAAGATTATTATGGACAGATATAATAATAATGAAATGTCTACAGACTGAAAGAGAGAAACGGAGAGAGAAAGGACGAAATAAAATTATTCAAGAGATTAATAAATAAATAAATACGTATATATGTATGTATATATATATATATAACGATTGGGAATAATTAATGATAAGCAAGACAATTTGCCTTCTACTTAAAAAAAAAAATAAGTTGAAGAAATGGTAAGATACAAACCAGTTACCAAATTGTATTTTTCAATAGTTGAAATCATGAGTCAATTGAAGTTAGACCATCATGGAGAACCTGGAAGCAATGAATGGCTGTTACGTCCTATTATGAGACTCATCAGCTTCAATTGACTCATAGTCCCAACTATTGAAATTACTATAATATCCATAAAAACATTCTGATATTATTTAACATATGGTCACTAGTGACTGGCTTCAACAGGTATTTTTTGGAGTTCTAGTGAAAAACAGTAACCAGTGGAGTTCAACTAGGACAGTTGTGAGTTAGTAACTTCCTGAAGACAATAGTAGAGGTGTTTCTTAATTTCGTGAATTGGTTGAAGTTAAACATTAACACCATTGGATGCCGGTCAGCTCAGTGTACTAGTGGTTAGGCACTCGCGCGCGAAACTGATTGGTTTGGAGTTGGAATCTTGCGAGGCTGGATTGTTGATGCACACTGCAGAGGAGTATCACAATAGGATAAGACGGCCGTCCAGTGCTTTCAGGTTTTCCATGGTGTTCTAGCTTCAACTGATTTATGATCTCAACTATTGAAATTACTATAATATCCAAAAAACCCTTGTGAAATAATTATTTTAATTTAATATATAATCTACATATGAAGTAGTTAAATGTAACCATTTAAAATAGGAAAAAAAGAAGTAATGGTGTATTCATGTTTCTATTAAGTTATAATTAACTACTCTTTTTAGAAAATTTTTCCTTTCATATATATTCTCTAAGTGAACATAGACTTCAAATAATATTTTAG